CTGATCTGAAGAATGTTATGGGTTGAGAAAATTAAGAATTAAAACCTAAGTTTTAAAATCCCACTTTTGGTACCGACACCGACGACGCATGTTTCCGCAACTCCTCACTGTTTTATTCTTACGAGTATCTTTCTTTAATAAGCAAAAAGTTAGAAAGCAATGTTATTATTTAACTGAACTTACCTTGACAAATATTAACAGAACGCAATGAGTTGGGGAACAGACTTTTGAACACACTGGAGCTCTTAATTTAGTCTGGCAAAAAGTGGCTCTTTTTTCGGACGCGGAAACCGAAAGAGAGGCCCAGATTTAAATGGGAAGCCCACCACAGCAAAACAAGTTCGTTTGTGGAAACTCATTCTACACAATTAGCAATTATTATCGTAGATTAGTACAAAAATCAATTTTACCTCAAGTTCCAGGAATTTATTTTACAAACAAGACTCAATTTTGTGTTTTTTCATTGATTGCGTTGACAGTTCAAATTTTGATATCAATGACCAACTTGTTTCAAATTTCAATTCCTGACACTTCACGCCGATAAATTAGATTTATTTTTTTTATTATAAATCTAACAAAAAAAGCTGGAACCTAAATTTGTTGTTTTTGTTGTGTGTCTACACCTATCGTCTACCTTTGAATGAAAATTTAAAATAAAAGTAACATTCGCAAAAAATAAATAAACTTATTATGAGAATGCTAATCGCGACCTCTGACTGTCGGACCAGAACTAAAATATTTCAAAAACGGTCTGGGCTATACTAGTCGGCTACCCCTGACTAAAACAAAGAGCAAACAAAATTTGTGGCTATGGAGACAAGCTGCTACCAATTTTTTCACCAAAATTTTGACTTGGTAATTTCCATTTAAAAAAAAACAGACTTTACTTTCCATATTTTTTTGTAATTTTTGAAGGTAAGTTGACCGAAATGGTAAGTAAGTGGAGAATAGAGAATATTTAGGTTTTTTTCTGAAAAACCATTTATTTGTACGTCGATTTGAAATATCGGTCGAGAACACCCCACATAAAAATACCGTGTGATCAAAAAAAAAAAATATAACTTAGAGTAGGCGGTGATTAAAGTCCTTCAGATGGCATTTTAAAAAAAACAGACTACTTCTAATAGCCTTGAAACTTGAAAATTATTTTTCCCACAGAAATAAATAGTCAAAGTGCAAAATTTAAACTCTCCTAACTTCGAAATTTTTATAGATAGACTTTTTTTAACAATTTTTTTATGTTCTTGGTAGAGAGATACGTAAGAACCTTACATGGCAATGAGGGACGAGTTCTGACGCACCCTGTATTTATGTTTAGTCACGTGTTGTCACTTTTTCTGTGTGTTTTGAGAAACCTAAGTAAATTCATTGAAATGTTCATGTCTTATCTCTTCAGCATCAAGTTCTCTACCCCGTTTTCCAATGTTAATTGCTATCTTGATATTCCTCATGCAACAATGTGACTTTTGATTAGCACGATCAGGTGTGCATCACGAGCAGCCACTTTCAATTACTCGACGTTTCCAGATGCACTCAACTGACGCAGCTGAGTTTCTTGAATAAAATGACAGCCACCCACCGAAAATTTACATTTCGACAAACCGAAGAATTAAACATTAAATATTCAACAAGCCCGATATGACGGCAGAAATTTTCCTTGCTCGCCTGTTTGCTGTTGTAATTGTCGTTGAATTTTCAACTCGTTGCGACAAATCTACCACTAAATTGGCTGCTTTTTTGCGATTTTCTTGAGGTTATAACACTGTTTGTTTGGCATAATTGGGAGAGCACTCGTTTCAAACGAAAATTTGCCTCGATTCTATAATTCGGCTTCCCAGGAGAAAAAGTATTTGACAAAACCATGAAATTCAAAATTTTAATAGCACTTACAAATAATTGAAAATAAACAAAATAGAAAACTTCTTTAACTTTTGTGACTCTTAACCCAATAAGATTTTTATAGCTTTTCTGTTGAGATAAATTTTAAATCAATGCAGTGACGGCAAAAAATATAAAATCCAACTCAAATCCGTGTATTCAGATCCAAGGATGTTGAATTTAAGGAAACTTCCTAGAAATATTAGGCAAGCTTTGCTGCTACTATCAGAGTTTGCATTTGAAAAATCGTTACATGTTAGACTGAAATCTACAGTTGCTAGAACAAACATTTAACTTTCCTGCAAATAACATATTGCAGGAATTTGCAGACAAAACGAAAAAAATATGTAAAAATTGTGCGGACTAAATATAAAATAATTTGGTTTTGAAATTATTCTAAAAATAATAATTTGATATTTATGTCGAGTTCGTTGGTCTTACCTTGATATAAAAGACTTGTAAGTAATAAAAAGCAAATTAACTTTCATATAAATATGCGTAAGCACACTCAAGAAAATATACTTATGTGATTAGTTTATTAGAAAATTGTTGATAATTTATAAATAGTGACAAGGACTGTTTTTAACATTTTTAACATAACAAGAAAAATCTTATTTTATTATAAATATACAAAAAATAAATTTTGTTGCAATAATTTTAAAAAGGATGTTTCTTTTTAATTCATGTTACAATGTGTTACATTTAGGCTCAGTGTTCCTAATTCATAACTTACAAAAAGAGCAATTGCGTTAAAATAAATGTCACGAAATGCAATTGAACTAATTGTTTAGTGGTTTAAAGTGGAGAAAAATGAGAAATGAATAACCAAGTGTCTGACAACAGAAGCAGCATAGTATTTACTGACTTGGCAAAAGAAATATTTTTCATAAGGTAATAACAAACAAATTATCTGAAAATTTCTACCTTTTTCTACGTAATAAAAAAGTTAATTTTTTACAACGTAAAATGAGCTTTAAATTGCTTGTTTTTTAACTTGCATACCTTTGATTTATTAACCGATCCGTAAACTTTTTTAATAAAACTTATATTTGAACAACCTTGCCTTCATGAATTTAATAAATTCTTTTCAATGAAACGTTCTCTAATGTTATTTTTTATTTTGTTAGTAATTTAAAATAATATTTTCATAGAAGTAGGTCAGTAAAAATCGTCAACTTCCTCCCTCCAGGTCGTAAGCTTGGCTTAATTAAATTTAACAGTTTGTAGACATTCCTGCGTCGCTCTGACATACGATACAATTCCTTATCTTTCTTCAAATAATTAATTCTATTATCTTACAAATTATGTTTGAGACAGGACTAAAGTGAGTTTAACCCATTTAAAATTTTGCGAGGTGTAAATTTCAAGAATGAGTGAATTCGTTCTTTATTCTCCTAAAAGTTGTAAATATTTTTCTTACTGATTTCTATTAAAATTTTACTCAACTCATCAAAAGAGTAGTGAACAATACGTTATTGTTGCCGTTAAATACCTAGAATTCAATTACATTAATTGAAATCAATAATAGAAACAATAAGAGATTATCATATTTCGTCTAGTTTCAAAAAACAACATAAATATTTGAATGAAGTATTAAGTAATGCTTCCGGATTTTATTTTTCTTACAATTAATTTTACTGTAAGTGTGGCGTCATTGTTACCTTTAATTAAATTTATTAAGTGTTTATTTTCGTTTCATTTTTATTTATCGGTAGAGGTAATTTTAGTAATCCTGATTATTTTTATTAAATGCATTTACATGTTTCGGTGTAAATATAGAAAGTACTGAATAATTTACAGACTTACGACTTTTATAAATGGTTTTCTTGATCACTTATCTGGTAACTTTGCTTGTTTTATGATTATGACTAAAGAATTTTTTACTTCTTATTCTGTAAAAATTTTTAGAAGTTGAACATAATGCCAATCCAAACAGTCATTATTGTTATCGTTCTAAATAAAACGTTTTAAAGTTTTTAGTCCGGTCAAATTAGTCATAAAAATAGTGGTCAAACAACAAAAATTCCGACAGAGCTAAATTTTGGTGGAGACCTTGGGTACACCATTAGAAATAAAGTGTCAAAAGTCTCCATCGATCCCATGTGTGCTAAAAAAGTTCTTCGGGGTCAAAGGTCAAAATTTGATGTTTTTTGGATTTCATTTGAAAACGGTAAGTTTTATCAAAAAAGTAGTCCAGACAAAAAAGATAGACCTTAAAATTATCTACAAAAAAGGTTCTAATACTTTTTTTTTAAGAATCACCATTGCTGAGATATGGCGATTTTTAAAGTTGAAAGAGTCACTTTCTATATGATATGCACATACATAGTGCGCCAGAACTCGGCCCCCAAAAAAAATGCCATGTAGGGTAAGGTACCAGGAACACGGAAAAATTTTTTTAAAAATTCTATTTATAAAAATTTCGAAGTTATGAGAGTTTAAATTTTAAACTTTGCCTTTATTTCTTTCTGTTGGAAAAACAATTTTCCAAGATTTTTTGCTACAGGCTATTACAAGAGAAATCAAGGAAGCTGTATCCTAAATTGTAACTCTGTTCAATGTTATTTATGGCTTTCATTGACAAAACTTTTGTATATTTAGTAAATAATTATAAAAAAACATATACAAGATCATCAGTATCATTAAATAGACATAAAAAAATGTCAAATGTCAAAAAATAAATGTCAACATTTTTTGACAGATAGAATTTTTTAAACATTTTTTCCATGTTTCTGGTATCTTATCTTACTTGAAATTTTTCTTCTACTTCATTAAACTTATAAATATCTCGATTCCAATAGAATTAAAAAGAATTTATTTGGTAATACATACAGGTGTCCAAAAAATCGCGTATTTCCTTGAAAGGGAGTAATTGGGTAGTCTCCAGAGTACTAAAAAAATGTTGAAAAAATTCTATCTGTCAAAAAATGTTGACATTTATTTTTTGACATTTGACATTTTTTTATGTCTATTTCATGATACTGATGATCTTGTATATGTTTTTTTATAATTATTTACTAAATGTACAAAAATTTTGTCAATGAAAGCCACAAATAACATTGAACAGAGTTACAATTTAGGATACAGCTTCCTTGATTCCTCTTCTAATAGCCTGTAGCAAAAAAACTTGGAAAATTGGTTTTCCAACAGAAAGAAATAAAGGCAAAGTGTAAAATTTAAACTCTCATAACTTCGAAATTTTTATAGATAGAATTTTTTTTTAATTTTTTCCATGTTCCTGGTACCTTACCCTACATAGCATTTTTTTTGGGAGAGCGAGTTCTGGCGCACTCTGTATGTGCATATTATATAGAAAGTGACTCCTTCAACTTTTAAAATCGCGATATCTCAGCAATGGTGATTCTTAGAAAAAAAAGTATAAAGACCTTTTTTGTAGATACTTTTAAGGTCTATCTTTTTTGTCTGGCCTACTTTTTTGATAAAACTTACCATTTTCAAAGGAAATCCATAAAACTTCAAATTTTGACCTTTGACCCCGAATAACTTTTTTACCACACATGGGATCGATGGGTACTTTTGACACTTTATTTCTAATGCTGTACCCAAGGTCTCCACCAAAATTTAGCTCTGTCGGAATTTTTGTTATTTGAAATGTCTATTTTGACCGGACTATTTTATTAGCCACAAAAATGGTGGATGCGCCCGAAAGAAAATTAATTATTTTTAGTTTATTTATTGTGATTTTTGTATTTTTATTTATTTTTCTTTACGAAGAATTAAATTTAAATCCTCTCAATGTAATCGAGTGCCATCAATAAACTTTCGATTCAATAAACTCAAAACCCAGCGAACATGTGCCGCTTCATTACACTGGAGAATTCATCAAGATCACGTGTCAATTAATTCCGTCAACACGTCTCTAATAGCGTCCATTTATCACAAGAGCGGAAAAGCTCCACATTCGTAAATCCTCCGATTCATCATTTCTTTTGTTACAGAGATATAGACATCGATATTTCCGGTTTGGCCTCTCTCAGTTGGCTCACGTCGAAACTGAAATCTTGGGTGATTGGACATTTGCGTCAGAGAGCCCTCCCTGTGCTGGAAACCTACGTCAAAGAGGCTCTGGTTCATGCCATAGCCAATACTGATTGCGTTGCCCAGCTTGTCGATTAAATTGATTTTATATTTTCATTCTGTCTTTTTTTTACAATCTGACCCAGATTTTATTGTTTTGTGTTGGTTTTTAATGGGCAGGAAATTGGAAAAATGGGAAAAACATCAATAAAAATAAACTAGTTACGTGGGCAAGTCCTAACAAGCCACTAAATCAAACTGAATAATGAGTACAGGATAAGGTGGGATGTTATTTTAATAGAAGAAATGATTACAATTAATTAAGCAATTTGAGAAAAAGTAATAAAATATTTCTGTTTACAGATCAGTTTGACAAAAAATTTATTGAAAGCGAATTATTTAATAAGTACGAGTCATAATTGGTTGTAAAAAAAATACCAAAGACTTCTTTCTTTAAGTCAAAATAAGGCAATTAACCCTAATACACCTTAGTAACAAAATGCTCCTTTACAAAGATGCAGTGTTAATGAAAAGGTTTTTATTTCTATAAATTATATGGAAGGTAGTAACACAGGGCGACAAAAAAAAGTCATGTCGTGACAACTTGACAAATTTTATATCATTTTGTTTGTCTCAGTAAGACAAATCAAATGCACTAAAAAAAAATTCAAAAAGTCCACACACTTTGAACTAAATAATTTTTTTCTAATTTAAATGAATTTAAAATACTTTAATTTTTAAAAATCATTACTCAATAACTATTAGGCCGATTTCCTTCAAATAAAGACCATTCTAAAGGGATAAGTTTGCTCTTTAGAATGATATGCAATTTGAAATTGAATATTGGCAAACTTTTCTTCGAGCAGTGTTCGAAAAAGTTCGAAGTAAATCGAAGTAATCTAAGAAAAACCCTACGAGTAATTTTTTTTTCTTTGTCACCATCGTGTAGAGCATCTTTTTATTAGTAAGAATCCAACTTTTTAAAATAATATACCAAGTGGTATTTAAGATAAAATTTTTTGAAGTTGAGGTTTGCTATTCAGGCATTGCGCCATATAGGAGAAATGCATGTTAATTTTACTTAAAATTGCATTTTTATATAAGTATTTGTTTTAAGACTCTTCTTTTGCTTAAAAATGGTCAATTGCACCTTCTTTGTTCATAAATCAGATGACTTATTGCATTTAACATCACTCGAAAATGATGAGAAAGCATTTGCTCAGAACATTTTCAAAAAAAGTTCAGAAAGCTAGAACAAAGTGAACAAGTCGAAATCTGAATGGAAAGTGATTTGATTTGAAAAAAAATTGCCCTTATATTTAAGGCTCATGTCTTAAACTTCTAGATCCTCTTTGCACAATGATCAGTGGTCATTTTTACAACAAAAAAACTCTTTATTTGCTTTAATTAGTACGCATGTACTCTTTATTTGTTTTAAATAAACAAACAGTTTTTGTTTATTGTAATTAGAACAAAGAAGGTGCAATTGACCATTTTTAAGCAAAAGAAGAGTTTTAAAACAAATGATTTTATAAAAATGCAATTTTAAGTAAGATTAACATTATGCATTTCGCCTATATGGAGCAATGCTTGATTAGAAAACCATAACTTCAAAAAATCATATCTTGAAAACTACTCGGTGTATTTGTTTGAAAATTTGGATTACAATTAATAAAGAGATGCTCTACACGCTGGTAATGATGAAAAGAAATTTACTCGTAGGGTTTTTCTTAGAATATTTTGATTTACTTCGAACTCCTTCGAACACTGTTCGAAGAAAAGTTTGACAATATTCAATTTCAAATTTTATATCATTCTAAAGGGCAAGGCCATCCCTTTAGAATAGTCTTTATTTGAATGAAATCGGCCTAATAGTTATTGAGTAATGATTTTTTAAAATTAAAGTATTTTAAATTCATTTAAATTAGAAAAAAATTATTTAGTTCAAAGTGTGTGGACTTTTTAATTTTTTTTTAGTGCATTTGATTTGTCTCACTGAGACGAACAAAATGATATAAAATTTGTAAAGTTGTCACGACATGACTTTTTTTATTGCCTTGTGTAATCAGATTAATATGAAAATATTATGTGAGCGACGGAATTTTGATTCAATGAAGGCCTTGAAAGTTTTCACGTATGTCTTCTATTAATTTTGAGTAATAAAACGACTCGCAATTAATAACCGTTGAGACTACTTTTAAGCAATCCACTTTTTCCGGTATTTTAAATTTAGATTAAGCTTTTAGAAAATATATCGCTAAAACCAGCATGAAAAGTATTGTTAACACTCTGCCAAGATCAATCACGTCTTACACTCCAGCTTAGCATTCTAAGCCTCTTATCCTCCTCTTGTATGCATACAAAACGTGCAAAAGCTAATTTTTCTATTACTGGAGAATGTCAAATCGCAGCTGGAAGGTGGGTAGGTAATGATAGTTTATAATGAAACAAGTAGAATACTTGATATCAAGCAGTGAATTACATCCCGACTAGTGAAGTAATTTATCTGAAACCTCAATGGCAACGCCAAATTAATATCATCATAGGATACTCTGAAACGGAAGACCGAATAATTGCAGTATTATTCTCCCTTAGACTGGAATATCTTTGCTTGGTTGTGCAATTCCAATTACGAGTACAAACCTCACAATTCGTGTAATTTAGACAAAATGATAAGCGACGAAATAGTAAGAATTAAATGCGAAGTTTAGAATTATATCGATTGCAAAAACAGAAAAAATATAATCCAAATTATTAAATCGTACTAGAATATATCATTTTAGAAATCTGTTTGTTTCTAATTTTAAGAATAAATGCTTTATTTTGGAATGGTACAGCCGATTAAGAAAACGCTCTTTCTTTTGTTGCCAATTTAAAAACATTGTTGTTTTTTTAAAAATTCTGATGTTTATTAATATAGTAATTTCGATATTAATTTGTTCAACATTGTCAAAATTTTAAGAGTTTCCCAACAGTAACTAAAGCAAAAAATGTAAAATTGTGTACTCACAGATAAAAAAATTTACAAGAATACTTCAAATTTTCGCAATTTTTGTGACCAAAATAATCGGTCCGTGTTTAAATAACCACAACATACCTAAATTTTTGCGTGCATTGTCATAATGAAAAAACTCTTAGGTACTTTTATTTGTAGATAAGTTTTTCAAAATTTTTAAAGTTACAACTGAAAATTACTCACTTTATAAGGCTCTACAGGGTGTTTAAAAATGGCGCACTAAAACTATGGTACGCTGTCTAGAAGCATTTGGTGAGTGAGGAAAAAATATTTAAAATATTCTTGATGTTAAATTTGCACGTGGATGAAGGTTTATTTTATGGTAAATCTGGCAACCGCGTGTACTTATCTTGAGAAAACCAAGAATGTTGTCATGGAATAATTCATAAATATTTATTCACTTACTGATTGTTAATTTAGTTCATCAAAATGTTTAGTAACACTGTTTAAATATTTATTATTAATAATTAGTATGATACCAATAGGAATGATTGAACGGCATTCAAATGTTCTCATATAATTAATGTAAACATTTCATTCCAATATTGTAGATGAATGTAGAACCACAAACACACTAAATTACGTCTCATTTATCAAATGGTGTTACAAATTCTAAACAAAAACAAAAGAGCTAGTTTGACAATACAAATGCATTCTGTGGCTATCAAACGTCAAAAATGAAATTTATTTACATAGTAACTACATTAGTGCATCGACTTTTTAAGAAAAACAAATATTTTGTTATTTAAAGAAAATGTGATTATTCAGTAGATCCTCGGACTATCTAACCTCGAGGCTGCCCCTCTTGGCCAAATAACTTGAATTTCAGGAAAATGAAATTTCTCATTTCAATTGCATTATACTATTATATGAGTATTAAATATGTAGTATTACTTAGGAAAATATTTTTGTTGTTGTTTTAATTAAAATTAACAATAAAAATTAAGTAAAGATTGAATTAATTTAATTATTGTTAAAAATCTAGTTACTAATTTTGGAGCAATTTTGGTAATTTTGGTTTTATTTAAAAAATACTAAGTTATGATTAAGTAACCCACATGTGTCCGCACATTTCACGTTTAAAATTAAAACTAATTTGGTACAAGAACCCTATTTTAAGCTCCATTTAGTTCGTGCAAACTTTTTATAACTTTTCTAATGTTGCCACCGTGGGCGAAAATAATAAACACTGACTCGGTGCTCAAACCTCAATTATTTCAAAGTAATATTACAAACAAAATAAACAGATTTATTTTTTTCTTGCAAATATTTAAGTTTACGATTTCCTCACTGACTTCCGGTCAAAGTTATGTGTTCTCACTTAAGAAACAACCAATCTCGAAACACTACGTCGTAATTGAGTTTCATGTCGCGTTGTTGACGTAACTCAATACACTTTAGCTTTCCCTTTGTATATAAATGAATCTTATTATAGTGTTTAGAAAAATGTAATAATATAGAGGGTGTGTCAGAACTCGCGCCCCAGAGAAAAATTTCAACTAAGATAAAATACCAGGAACATGGAAAAAATGTTTAAAAAATTTGACATTTGTTTTTTGACATTTGACATATTTTATGTCTATTTAATGATACTGATGATCTTGTATATGTTTTTTTTATAATTATTTAGTAAAAGTACAAAGCTTTTGCCAATAAAAGACACAAATAACATTAAACAGAGTTACAATTTAGGATACAGCTTCTTTGTTTCCTCTTCTAATAGCCTGTAGCAAAAAAACGTGGAAAATTATTTTTCCAACAGAAATAAATAGAGTCAAAGTGCAAAATTTAAACTCATAACTTCGAAATTTTTATAATCGAATTTTGTAACATTTTTTCCTGGTATTGTATCTTACATGGCGTTTTTCTCTGGGGCACGAGTTCTGGCGCAGCCTGTAGAGTCAATCCACAAAACAGAAAAAGTTTTGAAGACGTGAGAATTTGTTTTTTCTGTGATAAAAGTTTGATGCTCATTTTAATTAAATTAAGGAGTAATCGGAATTTGAATTGAAAAGTTTTCCGTTTGAATATCCGATTGATATTATTAAACTTTTATTAGATTAGTGATTTATGCTTGAAATTTTCCTAATTTTAAAGTTTT